TAGAAGTATTGCATACATATTTTGTTGCCTTTTCAAGTATAAAATCTATTTAGAAATGATTCATAGAGTTGGTGCTTCTTTTATAGGAAAATTTATACGGCTTATGACCAGATTCATACCATGTAAATGCACCATTACAGTAGAAATGCTTATGTTGGTATGAAGTCATGACGAAAATTACAACTAAACTATTTACAGTACAGATGGCTTTTATTTAGAAAAGAGAAAATCAACATAAGCTCAAAGTTTTCTTAGATCAAAGTAACACAAATGAATATCAGTGGAAAATTCACATTTGGCCTTTTTTTAACTTTTTTAATACTACATATTTCATTTTTTCCGACTGTTCGGATTTGAGTGCTTTTGCCACCGTAGCCGAACGCTTAGAGCTACCTACTGCCACTCGGGAGGTCCATGGTTAAATTTCTGATTGAAGGAGAATGATATACTGTTCATCCCCAAAAACATAGGATATAATTTTAAAACTACTTAGTAAAGGTTTACGCCGACAGGCCTTGCGGCGGCGGCGTGGTCAACTTCAAAAAGAATTGGCGGCGGCGGCGACGCCGGCGCGTCTGGAAACGCCGGCGCTACTGCCCATGAGGTAGATTCCAAAGAGCCATGAGGCTACTAATCTTATTATGTCATCTCGTCAGCGTTAGGCATTCACCATGCCAATTCAAATTATAATTCTATTTAATTTATTCATTGAACTAGTTTTAAGTTTAAATTACGATGGACGAACAGAAGAAGGTCTGAGGTATATATATACATACACACATGGTTTCAGGAAATGTATCTAACTATAAGCTAACTTTAAGTTGATTAGGAAGGAGCTAAAAGTCACTTATTATCTGTATATTTTCTTTAAGGAGAGCTAACTATATTTCCATGGCGATGGCCGCGAAATATTCAAGGGTGGTTTACCTCTGCATTAGATGTAACTAACTTGTAACTTACTACTTTTGGACATAAAATATCAATAGGAAAAACAAAATATTTTTTTTTAACTTTAGTTGTTTTATTTTTATTTACTTCTCTAAATCTCATATTTCTTTTCATATTCTGCTGTAGGTTGTCCCATATTCGAACTCCGTCAGACATAACTTCAAAATGATAATATGAAATTTCGATCTTCCTTTTAATTGTCCTCAACGCGTTTGTCCAAACGCCTTTAAAGAAAACAATCTCCTTCATTACTCCTGCATTACTTGTCAACTAGTCTCAAGCTAGCTTTTTGTAGCTAACTACAAGTTATATATTTTATTGAAATCCCGCGAAAAAGCTAACTACAAATGGGTTATTTTTTATCAATTGATAATTTTCTGCAGGACAGATCCGTACGTACTATTTAAATTTAAAGAAATAAAAAATTTCAAAAGTTAAGTTATTGGGATAATTTATGTCGCTATCAATACATTTTTGCAATATTTTTATCAACCGTTATGTCAAATTACGGAGTTCTTACGGTTTTTTGCGAATTACATATGAAAACAAGGTTGGTCTACTTTTTCCAAAAGTTTAACCCATCGACTCGAACCCGAACGGGTCTTTTTGACCCACTGTTTTAAAAAAATGGCTTATAGATGGTTAAAATGTCCACTAAAATATTAAGCGTCAAATTTTTCTAAGAAGAACCGAATGTAATGAAAAATAATACTAATTTTTACCAAAAAGGGGGAGCTTTAACCCTTTTTAGAAAACGTTGCGATGCGAGGGAGCAAAACCTTCCTGGGGTTTGACCACCATTAAGGAATGCTAACGTAATTTTCACACAGCTACCTAGTACTTGTATACGTATGTGGGACCCCAGAATAAAATAACTTACGAATGTAAAAATTAGCAGAAAAAAGTGTTTGCTCTTTATTTAAAGTCTGTTTAAAATATAAAAAAAAAATACTCAGAAAAATCAACTTGTCTTTGTTTTATCTCTAATAATTGAGGAGTTAGATGGAATGAGTTTGATGAACAGAAGCTGCTTCGGTTAAAACTGCTTTCTGACATATTGGCGTTAAAGTTTTTGATGTGTTATAACTTTATTGTTGTTATAGTATTGGAAGGAGTTGTCTACTGCGGAAAAAAATCGTTAGATTACCAGTATTCGACCCTAATTTAACTGTAATAAACGCTTTAGAAATCGAATCGAAAAATATGTTACCTATGTTTTTTCTGAGTGGCTCTCTTTTTGGAAAAATAAAGATCATATTCTTGTCCAGTGGCCCAAATTATGCAAAAAAAACTCCTTTAAACAAGTAATTTTCATTTCGTAAAAGTGTTTTAAACGAGAAGTATTTAGTTCCTTCAAACGATGTATTTCAATGTACATACATCATGAAAATTTTGTACAAAACTCCTTAGGCGCCGAACGCCGCCGCCGCTACTACTTAGGGATTTCCCTTAAACTGGAAATAGACTTGAAAACTTCGAAAAACTCAAAATTTTTATTGAGAGCTCAAGATTTGTATGAAATGAAAAAAAAACGGTTTGTTGGATAAAAATCCGGTTTATTCGATATTCGAAAAATCAAGATTTCAAAAAAATACTGTGCTGAAAATCTGTAGTTAACTGCCGATTATGAGTTATCTACTCACTGTGAATTTGGCCCTTATAGATATACAAAAAAAAACGGTGGAAACCGGTTTGGAAAAACCGAGTCAATCACCCTAATGTTGCCCTTATTGTGTGTGCCGTAGTGAATACACGAAAACGAAAAGTGAAAAGTGAACCGGTTCGCGGAAAATAAAACTAATGATAATCAGCCTTATTATGAGTTTAATTTTCCCCGAACCGGTTCACTTTTCACTTTTGGTTTCCATGTACATATTTATTATGGGCGGAATAAAAATTTTCGGGTGAATTTTTTTTCTTGCGAAACTCAGAATAAGGCAGAATATGATTTATCGAGGGCAAAATAAACAAGTTCTGGCATAAAATAGAACTCAATATAAAATAATTTTCTCCTACAAATTTTCATTATTTTCAACTAAAAACTAATTTTTATCTCAACTTTTTATTCCAATAATATTTTGCTTGATTTGTTTATTTCAATAATAATCAGCTTTATCCTGAGTTTTGCCTGAAAAAATCCACCTGAAAATTTGTCATCCGCCCATAGTAAAACCATGGAAACCAAAAGTGGAAAAAGAACCGGTTCGGGGAAAATGCAACTCATGATAAGGCTGAAAATATTTACGGTGACCAGATTTTTGTGGCAAAAAATCGGGACATTTTTAAAGCATCGAATCCGAACATACAATTTTGTTTTTAGAATAAAAAGACTTAATACAGTTTTATTTAAAACAAAACAAAGAGAAAAGATATTGAAAAATGATTATTATTTTTTTATGAAAATATAACTTACTAACTAAAAAACTTCTAAATCAAAATTTTTAATTTTGTAGAACGTTTATAAAAATTCGACAAATTTGAATAAATGTTCATCACAATTTGAAACATTTTAATCAGATCTAGAATTCTTTTGAGTATGCAGCTTTCAAGCCCATTAAATTTGAGTGTAATAAGTGCAAGTTGGAAGAAACTTGGACTTACCGTTGATTTTTGGCAATTTCTTGTTCGCGCATTCTCTTCCATACACGGTATGTTCAAAAAAGTTTTTTTTTTTGTATGGAGAAAATGAGCAACAACTACAAAAAAATTTACCAAATATCAATAGTAAGTCCTAGCTACTTAAAATTTGCACTTTGAATTGAATAGGTTACAAAACTGCATACTCAGAATGTTTCTAAGAAATGGTATTAAAAAGCTCAAAATTTTGATGAACTCTGTCGAATTCTTCTAATTTTTTTTACAAAGTTTCAAACTCTGACTTAGATGGTCTTTGTTAGATAGCGAGCCATACTTTCATAAAAAGGAATGTAAATTTCTTATAATTTTGGTTGACGTTAGTTTTTTAAAAAGTGATTTTTTTCACATATTTTTTTTTGTAAAAAATCTTACGAAATTAATTTTTCTTCCAATTGTTTCCTAAATTAAAGGAGTTTTTCTAAACTGTGTGTCCTAAAAAACAATTTTTCTCCAAAAAATCGTTGTTTCTAATGCTGTTATTGTGGCGTACTAATATTAATACTTTAATTGGGTTTTAGACAACGATTTGGTTTCTTGTTAAAATTTTTCCTAAAAGACGTGTTATAAAGCTTTATAAAACTGTTTTTTCTAATATTAGAAAGTTTGGGTGCTTTTTTATTAAACAACTTTTCCAAAACTTTTTTAAATTTTTATTTTTAGCAATACCGAATTTCTTAAATACATATATATTTTTTTAATTCGAATTTGAATTGAAGAGAACTTCTTATTTTGATTAATTTTTCTAATTTTGTAATTTTTTTTTTATTTCTTGGTAAAAATATCTAATAAATCTGTGCTACATTCCAAAAATATGAAACTACTAAAAACATAATTTCCTTATGAGTGGAAGAACCTTTTAAGAAATATATTTCTCCTAATCCTGAAGGGGCTAAAAATACGGGACAATAGAATCGCTGTAGTTGTTATTTTCTTTTATTCAATTTATTTCTAAATTTATTTTGCATATAATATTTATTGCCTTCGTACGAAACTTTAGTGTACTTGTCGATAACGCAGTTGTGAGATAGATTTTCAATGGGCGGCAGGCGCCGTACAGCAAATGTCAAAATAACTGTATGTACATGTATATTTTTATCGCGAATGTTTATACGCTTTTGCCAATAAAATTTTCTAATGAAAGCGGCTTTCAGTGCGCAATTCGGTGCAGGCGTGATCCGTTAATAACAATTTATGTTATAGATATTCAATACAACCCTGCAGTCATGTTTTTGCTTTGTTGGTTCAGTATTGCTTAAAATTGGAATGCGTTTGGTTCAACAAATTTCATTTCGGCAGTGTCAGTTCATTCCACTGACCACTCAGTGTTCATTTAGAAGCGCAGCCTATGGCTGTCCGGCTGTTCTAATTGTAAACGAAATTATAAAAAGTGATTGAATAAGTATTGAAGAATCAAGTGAATAAAAAGAAATACGGTGTGTGGAAAACAACGTTAAATGCAATACGTGGAAGTGAATATAATCGCACGACAAGACCGTGACTAACAACTGATCATCATAATGAAGTAGATTTATAGGGCTGAATGGCTCAAGTGGAGCTCCAGCGGTCGGAATCGGTCTTGCTATGGAAAAGTTCGGCAGTATAATGGCCAATTTTGGGTTAATGCCATATGACCTACTCAGTCTTTTTATGAGCGTGTTCGCTATTCACTCTGATTCCGATATAATACCATCGCTATTTAGGTTTGGCATCAAATCTGCAAGAAAATTTAGAGCGGAATCAAATTTTTTTTGTATTCATTTCATTCTTTTGAGTTATATAAAGCACAATATCCATAATAGTATGCATGACGTTGTGGAATGTGTGTGACATTGATGTATATTTGTTTATGTGGTTTTCACAATCTGATCAGATAACAAACTAAACTTAAAAGTTAACAAATTTCTTTCAAAACCTTAATTGCGTTAATGATAGTGGGTGACTCCGTGCATGCATTCAATCAAAGTGAAATGATAAGAAGTGCTGATCAGTCCAGTCAGTGCACGTAACCTGTACAACACTACCAGCTGATTAGAAATTTGCTTTACACGTTTTGTGTTAATCATGTTTAGCTTTACGATATAATTCGCTCTATTTAATCATACATATGTAAAAACCAGTTTCCGTTTTTGTCAATCTTTGAGGAAGTTCAAAAGTTCATTACGTCATGATAAGCAAATAAACTGCCGTATGACCGTCGGATGAACAGGAATAAGCAAACGTTGCCAGATTACCAACATCTTTGAAATATTGAAATATACAATTGGATTTCTAATGTTTCTTATTATAGAGTTATATTGTACAACTCTGATATCTCCAGTAATCGGTCTTAATAAAAATACAACGATTTATATTTGTATTACAGAACCGTTTCCTATATATTTTGTGAGTCAGAATCGACTTTGAAGACAATTTTATACTGCTTCAGTGATAAGAAAAATATTTATGACACGCACTTTATGTAATAGCTAGATTCCAAACAACATCGATAAAAATGTCTAAATTGTGCCAATGCAATGTTGAATTTATGTCTATGAAATACTTATGCATTCATTAAAAATTAAAATATTACTGAACTAATATGAAAATAGAAAATAAAGTAACATGCCAAATCAACATAATACTGCGCCACAAAGCAACATAAAAGGTCCCACCGATTTTAAATATGGTGATGCTGATATTTGTTCCAAGCGACGAAAGTGTAAGGACGGTAATAGTAGGGATATTAGCTATGCGGAATTCTCGCAAATCGCTAGAGAATCAAGTTCAAATAGTTCGTTTGAGGTATTTTCTTCACATGATTTGAACTCTGATTTTAAAGGAGGTCTGCTACTTAATACCACGACCCCTACATCAACATCATCGAAGCAATCATCACCAAATGAAACAAGTAACGAAAATTCCTGTTTTATAACAACAAAGCCTTCACAAACAAGTAAAGGCTTTGAAAACACGTTTAAACTACTTCAAACACAAGTTGAATGTAATGCCAAAAAAGCTATTAACGTTATGCAGTCCTTCAATATGGATACGTCGTCATTAAGTAGTGGCTGCAGCTCATTAGCTTCTATTGGCGAAGCCGAGCTAGCGCCCACGCGTTTGGAACTGGAATTGGAAGCTATGGAAAGAGTACGCGTTCTAGCAGCACACAATACTTGTTATGATATATCTCCGCGCTTTGTAACACTCCTATGTGATTTCGTCTCTAAAGGCCAGGGAAAAGGAAATCTGGAATGTGATAGAAGTACACGAAAGGATATATCACAAAATAGTGCGCAAGACCTAATATATCATGCAGCTAGAAATTCTGACGGGAGCAACTGCTTGAAAGTTGTAAGGACCTTATATTCAGTACCAGGTATGCATCAATGTTGATACATAAAAGTGAATTGGTAAAATATACAGAACGTATGTATGTAGCTAGTTTATTTTTTAACCTTTTTCCTTTTTCTGCGTTTATATGCATTTAATCTTTTATTACCCAAGTGCAGTTAATGACTTATTTATATATAAATAGTAGGCCATTGATTGAATCAATCGCCGTGCAATTTCGCACGTAGTCATACGTACTTGTAAAATAAGTTTGATTAATGTATGTGTATATAAAAATAATGTATGTTTATTTTTATTTATCTAATTTAATACTATCATATGCAGACTAATAACCGTCCTAGGGCCGTTTTCTAGACTGCCTGTTAAAGATAGCCAGTGCTTTGACTGCCTGTCCAATTTGCCACTCACTTGCTTATAAAACAGACCGGCCCGAAATTTTTAGCAGGCAGTCAAGAAAACGGGCTAAGTGTTCTGTTCCCACGACAGTCGGGTCTATGTAACCGGAACGACCCAGATTTATATCTGGACAAGGACTGTCACTCCAGCAACACTCCTCAAAAACCCTTTGGGAACTTGTATGCTGCTACAACTACAACGGCCTAAGTGTGTTTGCATCCACGAAGGCGGCCTTCTAACCTAACTTAAGTTAAATACCATAAAGAAGTCATTGTTATGTTCATATTGTTCTTTCTGTGGCTCTTGTAACAGCACTTTCCTATGAACTGTAATATGAAAAACCGGATCGATCTCTGCTGTTGTTGCGGCTACAACATCCCCGCTTAGATCGGTTAATATCTCAGTCGTTGTCGTCAAGTTCCACTAACGGCAGCCCTAAGAAGCGTGCAGCCTCAATAGGGTCGGTTCACAAGGACAAAGGCGTTAGGGCTGTCGGGTTTTCCGGGCATACGAAGAGATGTTTCGAGTCTGGAGGTGTCTCTCCGCATGCCGGACTCTCTGCTGTCGACTCGTGTCGTGAATTGTAGAAGCGACCATCAAGAAATATGTTCTTTCTGTTAACGCGTGCTCTTATTTCAAGATGTACAGTTTTATACGTCCCACATACATATATTTTATTTAAAAATTTTGCGAGTATTAAAAAATTATATTCGTATTTGGTGTTTCATGCATCGATATTGGCAACTGATGAAAATCGGAAGATAGCCGGGCATAAATTACTCGAAAAACACAGGATTAAAAATACATAATAATAATACATAATATTTTTCATTCGACAGGTTTTTTTGTTTAAATAAAAATATCAAGGTAATATTTTGACGTTTTTGGTTTTAAGGGAAGATTTAGACTTAATCAATATTTTGCGTTATTTTAGCCGCCTGCACAAAAACGAGAAGGTTATCAGTTCGTCGGAATATATTTTTTTTTTTTTATGTAACAACAAAACTTTGGACCACGTTAACCGATTTCCATAACTCTTTTTTAAAGGAAGGGGTTGGTGTTACCTCACAGGTGGTCCCATACTAATTTGGTTAAAATCCGATCATTGGATGATGAAGAAATTAACGACTATCTTAAATTTTTATATGGGAATTAAAGTCGGTTTGTTTTTTTCTTAAAAATTACTTGTTACCATTTCTGATTTTATTTTTCGTGAAATATATTTCTAACATATTTCCTAATTAAAGTTTCTTTTCTAATGGTCACCTATCTATGGTCTGTAAAGTATCTCCCAGTTGAATATAATCGAAAATATATAAAAGTATGTAAAAAGAATTCCATTAAATTTAAACTTTGTCAGGGGATCTTAACCAAGGCATCTTGCACAGCGAGCATCAATGTAGCAGGTAAATTGATTTTTGAGAGGAAACTTCTTTGCATTCGATTGGCGGTGATTTCAAACCAGTTTTGTACCTATTTGGTCTCTAAATTTAAAATTTTTTACAGTTAAAAAAAATTCTAAAGTCAATATTTGTATATACAAAAAATATTAAATTATTATAAACGCCAATAACAAATCATTTTATTTTTTTGCCTATGTTCGTACAAGCATAATTTGTTCGACACTATAGAAACCAGAGACAACAACAAATCCATATCGTCACCTAAAATTCAAAAATACGTAACAAACATCGTCGCTGAAATTCAAAAAGTCGTAACTAATAGAAAATTCAAAATTTAGTTTTTGATTGATATGATGGATTTCATCGAATTACGACTCCCACATCCTTTAATGAAAAAAAATATAAAATTTTAGTCACGGGTTTTTCCACTTCAGTTACGACTTTAAGTCTTTTTGAATTTCAGGTGACGATATAAATGTTGTTTTGTTCTTGTGTTATTACCTGTTCAAAACGCCTTGTCAGATAAAGCCAACAAAATCGGTGAAAAATTCGTCATGTAAATTCCTTTATAACTATACTTTGTAACAGTCCTCATTAAAAAAAAATATATTTCTTAAAACCAATCTTTTTTTGTGTATTTTTTTTTTTTGATAAATTCCGGTTTAGAAAACATTTCAAATAAGAAAAAATAAAGTTTGTAACAAGTTTTCACTTTTGCGTTTTTCCAGTAATGTGGCAACGTCTATGTTGTGGAACGCGTTCACTGGAAAATTTGTACTTAACTGAGTGTTGGAAAGTGTTGTTATTTTAATAATAAAGTCATTCATATGTGATTATCGATGACCAAAAAATGTAAGCAACGATAAAGTACGATAAGATGTCAATCTCCGAAATAGTTGTTATAACCTCTACCGCATAAATTTATTTTTCAAAATTTCCAAATATAGGCTTCAATAAAGTTTTTCTACAAATTGTGTTTTGACTTGCGCAAACTGTATGTATGCAGGCCACATTAAATTAAATAATGAAGTGTTCGAGTTTTTCGTTCTACAACACTACTTCAAATTGATTTTTTGACATCTATTCCAAGATTCACTCCTTCAATGTAGAAGTGAACATTGCGAATTGGTAGGAAATTGTATTTGACAAAATAAAAGTGATCAAAAGTTTCGAGCCAGCTTGGAAGTGTGAAATTGAAGAAATTGTGCGAAATAGTTTGACGAAGAGCTTTTACACGCACTATTTTATTTTTTAAGTTTTGTATATCGTGCTGACTGATGCTGTGCATTTGCATCGTTTGAGAAAAGTGCGTCACGAGACTGGGGCTTGTGTTAATGGCTTTTCGTTATTTTGTCTCGCCTACCAACTTTAATTAGCAAAGTAGTTGTTGTGGAAGGGGAATTGCAAAAATAAAAAAATAAATGCAAATGCATATACAAATATTTTCGAAAGTGTATTTGTTTTAAAGTGAGTATTAATAGCATACAAAAATTGCTTGTTTTAATATTTAATTAACGAGTTTAGAATTCACAAGAATGGGGAGATTGGTACTTAGAGTGCCTTAAGGTTTCGTTCTCTATATCCAAGTCCGGCAAAGTCCCAGCGCAGGCGTGGAAGAACCAAGGAAATTCTCTTGTGTTGTTTCTACATTTTTAGCTGCCTTCTCTATATTTGCACACCCATATTTGCGTTAAATAATATCCAGTATTGTGCTCTATAAAAGGGAATGCGTCACATTTTAAAATGTTTAAATTCATTTTGCAAAGTTATTTAACAAAAAATAACTATTACAAGTAGTCGGGATAAATTACTGTGACTGATATATTCTTTAATATACAATTGAAATTCGAATACATTTGGTTGGCAGTATTTGAAGTTATTTCCTTCGTTTTTTTTTAGATAAATTCATTAATATTGCCTACCACCCCCAAATCACACGAACATTATTGTTATATAATAATACTAAATCTAAAAGTTATTACACAAGAGTTTGAAATTACACAATTGTATTTTCATCGGAACACTAAATAATGGATAATGCCGCTTCCAGCGGTTGTGTCAATCCTAGGGGCGAATTGCATAGACGCAATGCATCGTGGTCACCAGAAAATCGATATTTCACTCCAGAGAGTGATGTAGAAGCCATTTTGACAATGAATAGGAATGATGATGTCGCCCCCACCAATGATAATATTGCCAATGAAACGGACTTACAATGGTACGAAATTTTCAATGATGATGACGTGGATGCTGCACAATTGGAGTATGAAGATGAAATATTGAGTTCTATATATACTAATGAAGAATCTAGTCCAAACAACACACACTTAGATGATCTTAACTTTTCCGAAGTACGATCCAATAATCAAACTTTAATTGAGAATGAACAGCTACTTTACGAAGGTAGATAGCTGCGTATGTATTTATTAGCAATATGGAAATTAACATTAATTTGATTGGCGTCGAAAACGTAAATTTTCCATAATAAATAAAATTTGCATTTAGTGAAGGTTGCTTGAAAAGAACCCCAGAAGATAATTTAGGTAGGCCTTAAGTAAAGCCATTCTAAGAAGCCTACTCAAGAAGGGCTGAAAAAGTGCTTCGTTGCATGCCGTGTAGAAGGGCTTATCCATTTAAAATTTACGCGGATGCATAAATTTATATTTATTATTACAAATGAATTTCAATAAACATTTTAAGTTTCAAGATCACATATTTGATATAAACCTAAAGCAAATACTTCAAATATGTATGATTTTTATAAATTAAAGGAGCTGCTTTAAAATAACTCCTTCTGAAGCCCTTCTGAAGTACGTCCTATAAAAACCATTCTGGAAGGCATTCCATGGGTAGTGAAAAAAGAAGCCCTTCAACTTGTGTCACTCAATAAAAAAAAGAAAGGAGCAAGGAATGTAGAGTGGAAGGTTTTTGACCCTCAGGGGGGCTTGTCGGAAGCGATTTTAACTTCTGAATTTATCTACTGGGACATTAAATTTGTGAAAATTTTTTATGGTGCAGATTTGATTGACAGCTCAATAAAGTAAATATGAAAATATGTATGTACTTACATAATTTAATGAGTCAATTTTGTGTGAACTTTTGTGCAGTCATTTAATTAACACTCAGTTACCAGAAGTGTAAAGTGGAAATTGGAAAAGTAATGGAATGTCGTCTTTGCTAAGTTACGTTTTTGGTTCTTTTTGTATATAAAAATAGCATCAAAACGAGTTAGTTTACTCGAAAATTTACCTAAATATCCCGGTTGTAAATATTCACATATATATATGTACATATGTATGTATGTATGTAGATACTTATATGTACATATGTACGCAGGTAATTATGTACACAAGAAAGTAAATTGATGTTAAGAACATATAAGAAAGCAATAAAGAAACGCTCAGTTATTCCATCCTTTATAAAAAAACAGAAATTTTCCCAAAATACGACCACTTTTGCTCTTCTATATCTCTTCTAACTATATTTTACAAATATATATTTTTTACATTTATATATTTATTTATTGTTTATTGCAGTTCTATGTGGTAATCGAGTAAGCCAAATGACTCGGGCATATGATGATATTGAAGCTGTGACGCGTTTGCTGGAGGAGAAAGAGAAGGATTTGGAATTGACAGTACAAATCGGAAAGGAACTTTTGACGCAAAATAATGCGCTAGAAAACAGAATCATTGAGCTGGAAGCGGATTTAAAAGCATCCAACGAGGATCGCGCACAACTCGTACATGAACTACACAAGAAAAATGAGTTGATTGCAGTGCTAACAAATGACTCTGATGAGGGCAGCGAAAATGGTAAGAAAATGTGTTTAATAAATTATTAAATGACACAAACACAAAAATTCAGTGGTCGTAAAAAAATATCCAAAAACCATGATTTTTTTACATACATAAGCACCACATTTCTAGTTTCTAAATTTTTGTGACTTTAGTCTATTTTCTAAAAAAAAGGGCAATAATTAATTCATTCCTCATAATAATCATTATTTCGCCGATCTTCTCCTCCAATTGGTTGTGTGCGTGCTGATGTTTCCTACAATTTTACACCACCTACAAAATTTACACTATTTCTGTTATGTTTATCGATCGTTTACGTCGATCTCTTTACGTAAAACAACCATCATGAGATCTGGTAAGCGTATCCCAAAAACCAAACTATCTTCCAAGATTTTCCATTTTTTCCGTGTCTATTGCAACCCTAGCTCTTTACAAGAACACTAAAACACGGGGTTATCATTATTCCTTTCAAATAATTTGTTACTCTTATTTCTACTTTCTGCTTCATTTCAGATACACCTACATTTTCCAAATCAATTACTTTGGATTTACTGCAAAAGAAGATCGCTTCCCTGCAGGATGAGAATAAGTCCTTGAAACACGAAGCCATACAACTTGCCTCGCAAACAGATGATGTTGAAGCTCAGGAACGCCAACTAATGGAAGACATCACATTACAATTGAACGAAGCTAACGGCCGTTACGACAGTATGAATCTGGAATTGGAGCGTCAGCGGGAGGAAAATCGCTTACAACATGAACAAATAATAAGCTTGACAGCAAGGCTGTCCGAAGCCGAAATGAGACTGCATCAGTTAACGCACGATAATGACGAGCATATTACACTTCTAAATATAACAAAGGAAAATCAAAACTCATTAGCTGTGGAATTGCTGGAATTCAAACAGCGCTATCAAGAGGTGTTGGCTCTACTGCAGGAGGCACAGGAGCAATTGCGTAATCAGCGCAAGAAAACAATGCCACAAGCGCGCAGCTCGTTCATTTCTAGTTCTGGCTTGTTGCCACCAGAGTCGTTACAGTGCGAGCTGATGGAATCTTCAATGTATTCGGAAAATAGTCTCGACTCTGGTATTTCGGGTGATACACAGCGTGCCGAACGCATGGGCCGTTTAATGTCACAACTGCCTGGTATATATGGAGGTGGTGCTGGTGCAGCTGGTTCGGCCTATGCGCTGGGTGCTATGCCTCCATATAAACGTGTTTTCGAAACAGTGCGTTGTGCAAGTAAAACTGGCAACTACATGGATAGTGGCAATTCGTCGATGACACAACTTGGTGCAATGGCGATGAGCAGTTCGGGTGGGCCGCGGATGTCGGCGATGCCGTATCGTGGTGCTGCCTTCGACGACAATAATATGGGCTTGAAGACCTTGTCGTGCGAAAGTCTGGCATCACAATCGGACGACGGCTATCCGTCTGCACCAACCGGTGTGCCAGGTGCTCCGGGAGCTAAAGACTTAGAAGCGGCATTAAAACGACTAACACCGGCAGAGGTGTTGGCGCGTCGTGCTATGCTAACGTATGCTCCACCTGGCACATACAACTATGATGAACAGACAACGAGCACGAATACACTTCCGCAAGGTATACGCACGCCAGATAGTATTATGTCGACAGGTTCGTCGGGCATTTCGTCCACCAACATGTCGGCATCAATGCAGCAATGGCGTTTACCCGAAAAATTGCAAATTGTAAAGCCGATTGAAGGTTCTCAAACACTGCATCATTGGTCACGATTGGCAACGCCAACATTGAGTGGCTTGCTGGAGGAGCGACCGGGTGTAACCATACGAGGCGGCCGTGGTTTAGATGATTTGGGAATGCAAGTATATACACTTTCCGATGTGGAGGAAGATGTGAGCGATGACTTGCCTGGCAAACAATTTGAAGCTTCTGGCTGTACATTTACCTATACAACGAGCATGGTAATGCATCCCGATGACGGTCTCAATGATCTGTCGTTTTTGTCACAGTCACAATTATCATCACGCATGGCTTCGGCATCGACTTCGCGACAACCCAGCTGTCCACCCACACCACGCGGCGGATTGTCACGCAAGAATTCCTGTTCGACGTTTTCGGTTAATTTAGGTTTGGCTTCGATGTTAAATGAACGCGGCATTAAGGCTGTGACGCCAAGTGCACTAAACACTCCAGCTGGACCAAACTTTTCACCAACTGTCACACCCTGCAATAGTCCAGGTAAAATGTTAATGAAAACAAGATATCTATATATCTGTGGACTTTTGACAAAAGAACTTCTGTGATTTCCATAGGTTTAAATTTAGAGTAATTGATAAGGAACTCTGATTTAAAAATTGTACATCTTTATTTAACTTCGTAGCATGTTGACCCACTATAAATGATTAAACATAAAAATATCATCCGAAAACTCAATGAATTATTGATTTGAAGAGAATATTACCTCAATCGAGAGAAGTTGCTTTATCAAATGTCCACAGATATGTACGATGAAGGTGTATTACGCTACATACGGTAAAATCCTCCTAAGTCCCTCATACAAAACTGTTAGCTTTCAGAGGTAGTTACGCGGACTTAGTAATTAAAAGAGCAGAGCATAAGCAAAATTGTAAATAATGCAAGAAAAATTATGGATTTAGCGGGATTAAAATTTCAACGTGTTATGCTATACTTCAATCTAGAGTTACTCTCTTCTCTAGAAATCATTCAAATTCAAATGACGATAACTGATCTATCTCCATATATTTTTCCTCCTTTCAGAGGGTTCACCTCCACGTTCCTCCTCACCTGAGCCACTGTTCGGTATTCTATCGACAGGTGCAGATTTAATTAGACGCAAATTAATCGGCGACATCGAACGGCCCAATCGTAATCAGGCTCAACAAAAGCAAAAAATTATGCTATCGCGTTTGGAAAGGCGTGCTCTGCGCTCACTAAAGCTGGTCGAGAAAGTCGAGAGTATTGGTCTGGAGAACATTATTGTCGCACAGCCAAATTCTATGTCGCAGTTGGCTAGTGGCATAGCGAGCCGTAGCTCCAGTCCCATGGCACAATTAATTAGCCTTAAGAATCTGCATACTTGCGCCAACAATGTAGTCGACGACATACACTTCGATCGTGATCAAATAAAAACTGTGCTGCATAAAGGCCTTAACACGCCAACTAAAACTGTGAGCGGGCGCGATGAAGAGTGTCATTTCGTCAATATAACAACAGAGCCAACAGCAACATCATGTGGATTAAGCACAGCAAGAACTATTAAAGACGATGGGGAGGAGCCCTCAACGAGAATGGGAGTATCACAAAATACGGCAGCCGCCGTAGCAACAACAACGTCCACGAGTACAACAGAGTCTCGTATAAAGCAATTACAGCGACAAAAATCACGTCGCAATCTTAAAAATGGTATTGCCGGTCAGCGACCAGATTTGGGTACGATAGGTAGTGGTAATGGTGGTGCCAGCGGAGGTAATGGACGTGTACGTCCCGATCTAGGAAAAGTGTCTTCAACAGCATCAACGTCTGTAGCAAAAAATGAAACTGCAGCGCAAGCGGCAACAAAAGAGAGTGGTGCTCGGCCGAAGAAAAGGCACAGCGACAGCAGTAGTGGGGGCGACAGCGCGCAAAAAGTACGAGAACCGCGAGAATCACAAAGTATAACACAAGCATTTGTCGGAAGTGTGAGTTCTTTACTATTTGGGCGCAAAGGTGGTTGGCTGTAGAGCTAGAATGCCTGCACTTATTTCACTAAATGTGGTTATTTCAGTATGAATATAATACAAAAAAAAAAATCACTACATATTTTAGTTTGATAGCGTTTGAACGAAACAAATAATGATGAATAATAATGACAAGAGCCGATAGTGGTGCAGTATTGCACCGCCCAAAGAGACAAAAATTATTAAATAACTAGTGAAAAGGAAAAATGCACACACATTAATACATTACGATGTAAATCTTATACGATATTAAAGCGCTAATATCAAGTTGACGGTGATAATAACGACCATGTGTATGTTTATAAAAATTTATTGCAACGATAGTGAAGATGTAACAAAATGCTAAGGCTAATAATAATAATTTTATGGTGCACATAATTACAGAGCATTTTATAGTGTTATACCAATACAAATGTATTTACAATGAAAAAGGGTAATATTTCCACTAATTGCTTATCTCTTCGCAACAATAGCATAGCTACCAGTATAAAATGCATTATTGAATAAGTAACGTACAATAGTAGCAAAGCAATCCGATTCGTATAATTTTCTTTACTTTAATTTTATTATTTAACAAACTTGAAGTATTTATTTTACATTTTGATCTGATTTTTATTTTTGTTTTAGTTTTTGTTAAAAGCATTAGAATTGAATTTTAATTTAATTAACTTTGAAACCGAAACATTCACATGGCTTAGCAACGAATATGCTAAGGAACTTAGTACTGCCTTTATAAGCTCACTTTTTACACGGCTTAATTTTAAAGTTACGCTTTTCCGCAGCAGATTTTTCTTAACATATTATAACTTGACCGTATACGCTAATTTTGTTGGTTTCTAAAATTTTGGAAAGTGCCCATATACATATACATATGTACATATGTATATCTTTAACTAAAATTTAACAAGGTGGTTAGTGGGAAATGGTACACACGAATAGTAAAAACTCCTTTTTAACGGAATTCCTTGCTGAAAGTATGAAACTTGAAACGTGAAATCAAGGGTTTCAAGATTATCAATGCTTTCTTCGAACTCAAGAGAGTTTCTCTATTGTAATAGCGCTACCATAGCGTTTTTGCATGCTGGTATTTAACAAAGGCATCGATGATTTCAATATCAAAGTACCACAGACATGTATTAAAAAAAATTATTGTATTTATTTTATTATTATGAAAATAAAAATGATTTTAAGTGTTAAAAAAAATGTACTACAACGGATTCTTATTCGTATAATACAATTAAAAGTTATTTGAAGACTTTGAAGCAAATACGAAACGTGGAAAACTCGAGACTCGGAAGGGTATTCATAGAAATTTTAACAATTTAGCAAAACTCTAGAAGTTTTATTGGTCCTATTCAAGTATAACTTGAAAACAAAAACAGAAGCTCCAAAAATTATTTCCTATAAAGTTTGACAAATCATTAAAAATTGTTCGACTCGGGCGGCTTTCGTGGATTTTTTATTTTATTCGGGGTTTTCATTGAATTATAAAAGACTAATTATTATTTTTCTTAAAAAATTTGATAATTAAAAAATTAAATTTCGATAATTTTCAGTGGGGCATGTTCGGGTGAAAAAGATATTCGAAAAAAAAACGAAAAACATCAATAAAAATAAACAAATTTACACTCGGTAAAAGTTTTGATAAAATCTATCGGTTTTCACCTCTTTTGAATTTATTAAGGGATTTGAAGGATATCGCAAACTTAAGAAAAAAATTCAAGCTCAAAATTTCGACGATTTCCCCAAAATTTTAAGACTCCCGTACTTGAAAAATAAAACCAAAAAATAAAAACAAAAATACAAACTATTGGAAAAAAATTAACTCAAGGGGGTGTACCCTGTATTGCGATTCGAAAAGCTAATCATTCGGTTTCGAAGACTCAGCACTATGACTTTATTAGATCGTGTCGCCTAGGTTTTTGAGTTAAAAACGAACATCTCAAAACTTGAAGAAAAACAGAGAATTTTGATTTTTCTATTTCATAAAATGTTTTCGATTGGGTAAAAATTTCTTACCTCGAAAACTCGTTAAGCACTTTGCTTAAACATTTTGGAAATTCCGCGAAACATTGGGCCGTATGCATAAAACCTAAGCAAATGCCTTTTCTTAAAATTTCAGACCTTTTGCTCGATTTTTTCAAACAAATTTAAGTAAAAGCTATGAAATTTTAACTGAAAGCAATTGCTTATTTTTTATGCATACGGCCCATTGAAAGTCTTTGAATCTTGGGCTTATAAAGGGGTTTTTTGAAACTATATATAAACTCCCAATTACAGATTTTTGAAAAAATTTTTCCATGTCAAAAACGAATATATTTTTGGTTTTTTGTTCCCACGTTTCGCCTACAATTTTGAGACTATCTCTTATTTGAAAAAGAAAACGGAAAACAAAAAATGCATACAAGTTATTACAAAAAAAGTAAATTTAGATACAATCCGAGTTTTCGGGGTATTTTTGTGTTAAACATTTTTTTGATTTTAGTCTTGCGTTTATTGAGGGATTCTATGAAACTTGAAATGAACACCAAATTCCATATTTTTCTAAACAAAAAATTTTAGACTCGTGGTTTCAGAAGCATTTTCGGGTTTATTAGGGGGACTCCCTTGAACTTAAAAAAAAGAAATGCTAAATTCGAAAACATGTATATTTTCACACACAATTGGACACCACAGTGAAGTTTGGTGTTTGTATGTATGCACGTATGTGCAAGTCTTTCCTTATGAATTCAGCTATATTTTTTGCTTTATATTTTCTTTGTTTTTCTGTTTTCATTCAGGTTCAAATAATATAAACACAAATCGGCATTTAGTATGTGTTTCCTTATAGGATATTTATGCCAGACTTTTTCTGCGTAGTTAGTTCCTTTTATGAATGCGCTTTTATGTTTTTTAAGTTTAGCATATAATTTCATAAACTTCATTTTAGTTTAAGCATTATAACATATTGCGAAATACATACATACATTTACTTATATAAATTGTTTAAAGCTTATAGTTAAACAAAAAATAAATAATTGCATTGGTTAAAAAGCTCACCAATTTGAATGTAACTACTATGTATAAAGCTGTATGCCTATAATTATACTTAACTTTGCTTGTATAATTTTCACTTATTCGTTTCAATTGTCACAAACCAATTTTTCGGACATTGCTACTTTTTCCTTTATAATTTCTAGTCTACTTCCGCTTCCTTATATTTAGCTCTTCTCTTTCTTCGCTATTCGTTGTCAAAAAATAAAAATACTTAACCGATTTAGCACTTAGTTTGTAAATGAAACAATGTGATGTAAATAAAAAAACATATTATATTATTTCTCTCCAGACTATAGACAATAGTATAGTTTGGTTGACGAATGTGCATAAGAGCAGAGCGGCGGTCGGTCATAGCGCATTTCAAATACACCCACAATACACTTATTACAAGCAAATAATTACACTAAATTTAAGCGTGCAAACAAATTAACAAAAAAAAAAAACATAACAAAACTGCTGCAAAACTAGTAATGAATTGCATAAAAATTGTGCTAACGCATGTTAGTGCCTGTTCCACGTACATACTTATTCATACATGAATGTATGTATGTATGTTCACGACAGCATTAAATATCTCCATTAATACATACATATATCACTTGTGATAGGTTTTGTTCATTTCAGTAAGTGCATTGTTTTTTGCTTAAATAAAAAGATAACATAAAAAAAATAAAACAAATAGATGCTTGTGTTGTTACATTGTTTTTTCACCATTATTACCTAAATATATGGCCAGGGATCACACATTGCATATGTATGTAGAAATACTTTATTTTCCTAAAAAGGAGTGTTTAATTAGTAAAAGATTGGTGCGTAAAGGTAAAAAATTAAGAAAAAAAAACGCATGTCGACGCTTGGCGCGCGTTACCTCGTATCCGCCAAATGAAATACCATGTATGAGGTGGCATAGAAAAACATTTATTTTGGTTACCCTGTCTCAATGCTTCCCTACTTCACAAACCTACTTGAGAAACCATTCAAAAGTTCTGAAGAAAATAAGTTTCTTCGCTCCTATGTGAAATTTTCTGACTATCTTATACGCGGTATTTCATTTGGCGGATACGAGGTATTGTGCGCCAAGCAATGATGTTTGTATTTACGAAAGCACCTTAATTATATGCGCCTTAACGGTCATTAGCAAAAACAAAAAAAAAAGCAATTAAAAATGAGAAAAAAATCTGAAGGTGCATTGCAGCAGTGACTTAAGTTAATTTATGAGTTATATTTTTATTATTTATTTATAGAAATGTGTATTCAAATATATAATATAAACGTTAAAAATTATGAAAGCGTGTTTTTGTTTAATATGCCTACTAGAACTCGTTTAGTAAGTATTACGGGATGCAATGCCTTGAGTAGCGCTCATAAATAGGTACCGGATTTTTATGCGCATATAATGTGCGCTAAAAAATTAAAAATATGCACAAAAAAACAAAAAAAAATATGCACAAAAAAACAAAAAAAAATATGCACAAAAAAAACAAAAAAAAATATGCACAAAAAAACAAAAAAAAATATGCACAAAAAAACAAAAAAAATATGCACAAAAAAACAAAAAAAAAATATGCACAAAAAAACAAAAAAAAAAATGCACAAAAAAAACAAAAAAAAATATGCAAAAAATTCGCATCTGTTTTGCCTTTTTATTTATTTTTATTCGCTTTTCATATTTTATTACATGTTTATAATTAACACAAGGATGTGTTGTAATTTTTAGTGCCACGAAAAACTCAATATTAATCGAATATACATGCATATATCTAAAATTTTAAAATATGTATGTATTAAAAAAATTAGCACTTAAAGTAAAAAATTCATTTACAATAAATTAAAAATTATTTATTTATTTGTTTAATATTTTATAAATGAATTTATAAAATATTGTGGGGTGCAGGTGGACAACTAGGTCATGGTGCACCGGCGATGAGTAACCCTTTGTCTATCATTCCCACGACAGCCGGTTCTACGTACCGGAATGACTCGGGTTTTACCCGACCAAGGGCTGTTGTTTCGGTGATCTAACCCCGTTTAGGTCGGCGAAGTATCTCAGAAGTTGCTGGTCTATACGGCTAGATTCACTACGTATTCTTCTTGGCTGGTGCCACTTTAGGGCATGCTCAGGTCTGCGTACCACGCGAGATTGGACTGGGAACTTCGAGGGCCCGTGTTGCGCGGCTCGGTCGCAGACCTCAACTGCGACGCCTCCCCCCACCACCACAGGGCGGCAACCATCACAGCAGCGCACACAGCCAACGGCGGCAAGAACACACACATCCCTTACACCCCACATCACGACACGTCTCCCGAACCACATGAAGCTCCTTCCATTTAACTGCAACGGGCTACAGAGCAAGATTGAGGAGATAACCGTCTTCATGTGTCGGCATGGTATAATGATAGCTGCGGTCCAAGAGACGAAGTTGCACAGCAATTCAACTTTGTTGAATTGTGCCGGGTACAACGTGCACCGTCGAGATCGCGAGCGAGATAATGGTGGTGGCTTAGCGTTCATCACGCACCACACCGTGCAGTATCGTCTTATCGAAGCAGACATCGACCGCAGAGATACCACCCTAGAATGTCAGGGCATTGCTATCCGGTCAGACGATGTTGAGCTCGAAATATTTAACATATACATACCCCCTGTCACCTGATGCCCGGCAGGATATCACCCTGATATAGGTGCGCTCCTCAGAGGTGAAAACCGTATGGTAGTAGGTGACTTTAATGCGCACCACGATCTTTGGCACTCAAGCCTGTCAAACGATCGTAGGGGAACAGACTTGGCTGAGCAGATAGACGATTCGACATTCTGCACAATGAACGACGACGCACCCACCAGGATTATGGGTAACTGCAGTAGCTCGCCAGACATCACAATAGTCAGCGCTGGTCTGATAAANGCTTGCACTAACGGTGAAGTTCGGGTGGCCATCGAGAAGGCGAAAGCCTCCAAAGCCATGGGGACCGACGGAATATGCATGTTGATGCTGAAAAATTTGGGTCCTGCGGAAGTAGCGTACCTAATGGAGGTCCTCAATCTGGCAAGACACTAGAGGCCTTGCTACTCCCGTATTTCACGAACCACTTGATCCCAGTGAAGCATCAGCATGGTTTCCGTAAAGTACACAGCACAACAACAGCACTTAACGCCATAAACACGCAGATAACACGTGGCGTAAACTGCAATAGTCCCTGTGAGAGAACTATTATAGTAGCGTTGGAACTGTCAAAGACGTTTGATACCGTCAGCCACTCCACGCTGCTAGAAGACATAGATGCTTCCTTTCTCCCACAGAGGCTCAAACGGTGGTCGGCAAATTATCTGAGTGGTCGACACTCGTCGGTAATGTTTATAGACAAATCGAGCAAACTTAGGAAAATCAAACAGGGGGTTCCACAGGGTGGTGTGCTTTCCCCGCTACTGTTTAACTTTTACATTTCAAAGCTCCCTCAACCACCAGAGGGAGTCTCGATTGTCTCTTATGCCGACGATTGCTCGATCATGGCGACTGGAAATGGAATTGACCCGTGTTCGAAAGTAAACGGGTACCTCTCCGAACTTTCTCGCTTCTTCACTGCAAAGTGTCTAGCCCTCTCCCCTACGAAATCCTCTGCGACCCTGGACGAAGGAGGTCAGGCTACCGCTGGGAATTCGCGTCGATGACACACCAACAGTGTACGAAAATAAACTATATTGGGCTGTATGAATAAAAACTAAGCAATTGCTTTTTCTTAAAATTTCATACCTTTTACCTGAATTTTGTTTGAATAAATTGAGTAAAAGATCTGGAATTTTAAGAAAAAGCAACTGATTATTTTTATTCATACGGCCCATTGTACGTTACTATTTCGTTTCGCTTACTACTTTAACAGTTCGGTACAATACGAAAACAAAACGGCTGAGTTCACTTTGGCGATAGTACACTACAGTAGGTAGTAGTTACATACGAAACAACAAACGAAATGAATCGTGCAGAGAAAAATATATGTATGTATGTACATATATGCAATAACTAAATACAAAACGAATGGCTGCAATGAATAAAAAAAATAAAAATGTTTTTTAATTGAATTGGATATCAAAATTTACAGAAAAAAATATTTTTCACGTAATTGAAACGTTTGTATACATATAAAACGTACAATATGGTACAATTGTCACAAACGAAAAGCAAACGTTTCTCGTTGGGGAAAATGACAGTGAATCTTACAATAGGTGCAATCCCGTATTCCTCGGACTAGGACTAGTAAAACTGTCAAAAAAAAAATAATAATTCGCTCAGAGCGAGAGAGTAACATTGAAAAGTACGGGATCGCTTTCTAGTAAAAAATGATAACTTCTGTCAACTTCAACATAACCTCCAAATTTTGGTTGTAAATTTTTGCTTATTTTAGGCCTGTGCCAATCGGTAACTTTTTTCTCCGTGGTGAGACGGTGTGGAAAAATTTGCTATGGTGTACAAATAAATTGAATTTTGCTGTGCCAAATGCAGAGTAAAATTTTGACAGTTGAAAAACCAAACAAACGATCGCGCGAAAGCTTTATTTTTGTGTGTTGATGAAATTCTTAAAATTTATATTTATTTTATAATTTGCAAGTAACGTACGCTTTTTTTATGCTGTTTCAGCTTTCATTTTTATGTTCACTCCTTATTACCGCCAAGCAATATTATATGTATACATGGTTATAAGCTGTCAAAATTTTACCTAGCCCCATGAGCTAGGTAAAATTTTGACGTTCGTATTCACCACGAGAAGTGTCAAATTTTTACTTTGATCCGTCAAAATTTTCTATTTTCTATCAATTGGCACAGGGCCTTTGTATGTAAACACACTCAGCTCACACATGTAAATAACCAAAAATACTTTCAAATTCATTAGAATCCACTTAAACAAGTAATTAAATACTTCCCTAACGGCTTTGTCCTTGTGGACCAACCCAACAGGGCTGCCGTTAGTGGAACTTGACGACAACGACTGAGATCCCAACCGATCTGGGCGGGGTTGTTGTAGCCGCTACAACAACAACAACAACAACCCTTTGTCTATCAGATGCATTGCACGATGTTGTTGTGGGCCGATAGAGCCTTCGATTGTGATGCTTTCGCTTGTGCTGCAGTCCAGAGCTTTAGATGGATGCAGAGTTCTGGATATTGGGCAATGAAAAAGGATGTGTTCAATGTCCAATTTGACCAAACAAAAGGTACAATTGAGTGGGTCCATTCTGGTGTAGTGGTGTTTAGTGGAAAATAGCGTTGTTCCAAGTCTGACTCTAGCAAGTGTAACACGTTCCTCACGGGAAAAGTTGGGATTATAGTTAGGTCTTGATTAAGGGTGGGTAACTCAGCAAATTTATAGGAGTTGACTCAATGACTCCAACTCACTTTAAGGAGTCAGCTCATTCAACTAACTCATTTGACTCTTTGTATGTTACACTCATTCGTATCGTAGACTCGTTTTGAGGCATAGATGCGGTATAGCGGCCGTTGAGATAAAACAAAACTTTAAAGTGGGCGTGGTCAGCTCCTTTCTACTGATTTGAAAGGTGTAATTTTTTTTGTGTGCAAATTAATAGGGCGGTGCTAGGGGGAGGGTAAAGGTGGAATTTTCAATATTTTCAAAAGCTTATATTTCGAAACCTATTGTACCGAATTTCAAAATGTGGATATGGTTGGAAAGGCAATTGATTTGATATGCACATCTTTATATATCTTACATACATACATATTTCGAGAAAAACTAAAAAAAAAACGAAATTATAAGAATTTGTGAGATTTGACATAACACCCGCAATACAAAATACATGTGGTTGTTGTTGTTGTATTCTTGCCACCACCTTGTATAAATTCGCCTCGTGCAAAAACAAAATGCAAGACTTTGCCATGCTAAACACTGTGGCGAAGCGAGAGAGTTATATGGACAAATATGAGCCACTATGATTCAATTGATTCATGTGAGCCCTACGGCATCAACTGAGTTACTGAGTTACATTTTTTTTGGACAGGGAGTCTGAGTTACCGACTCACTTATAGGAATCAACTCAATAACTCAACTCTGAGTTGAGTTACCCACCTCTAGTCTTGATAGTGTTGTGTTGTGAACCCTTAGAAAGTTTGCTTTGTTTATGGCTTTTTGGCAAAAAAATAAATAGT